TATTTTAAAAGCATTTTAACATTTTACTTTTACATGGAAAAGAGTTGCCGTTGACTGTTTAAATATGGAAGCGTTTGGTGTGGAGGTTTTGCTTTTTGAAGTTGGAAACTCTAGTTACTGAAAAACAGTGATGTATTCTGGTAGATTATGAAGCAGAAGCAGCAGAAAATGGAATAATTTATTCTGCATTAATCTATTTTATCATACTTGATTAAATATAACTTTATCAGCCATTTTCACTTTCTGTCATAAATGTAAGATTTAAGAGAAATCATCTTGTGACTGTATTGTATACAAATTTAAATATAAATTTTACTACTAGTTCAGCATTTTTATTATTTGGTAAGCTTTTTTGCAAATAAGTTTGCATTTACTTTTAGAACTTTAACAGTTTTCCATACATACAGCATTTATTATTTAAGCAAATCCATCACTTCTTTCTCACTGCATATCTCTTAATTAATAGAATAAAGCTGTAATTTTTTTTGCTACATTCTTTTCCAAGGTTATGATTTCTATTTTTGTTGTGATTTCAAAAGTATAATATTGTAATTATTTCTCGATCACTACATACTAATGTTAAAATCATCTGTTTTATGAATTAAAGCAGGTCGTATTCAATAATTTCTTTTAAACTTGGCGAATAACAGAAAAGGAAAAATCCATACTATTTGAACTCAGTCATATATACATTTTTAGGAAGATTATTATAGCAGATATCAGTAAAAAAATATCCATTTTGCAGGCTTGATCAATTGGCTCTGCATGATATATGTTAATATGCCATAATTAGTTTCCCGCCATTGGATAACTGCTTTGTTTGTATTTGATATCTCTTAATGTTTGTTTCCCAAAAAGTTCAAATTTTTAAATGTGAATATAGCTAACCGTTTCAAGCAACCAACTAAGTCCTTCATTAATTGGCATTTTTTCATGCTACATGAGATAGCACTTACCTGTACTCAATTGTTGAATTTTCTCTTTTTGGCGAGCCTATTCCGACATCAGATGGAAGCATTTGTATTTGGCATATTTTAAACCACAAACATTTAAAAAGCATGCAAACTTTTACTTTATTATTGTTCTCAAATACTATAAAATATATTATCGTATGATTTAATAGAATATGTGAATTTCCATTCTGAGTTATATTTTATTGATTTTTTCTTTCTATAATAAATTATTGGCAACGTCATACTCCCTTCATACTCTCTTTATCTGAATCCAACTAATTACTCACTATCACTACATAAAGAATAGTTTTTTGCCCTCGGATAACGAAATAGATATGCCTTATTTCATATCTCACGCAGCATAAAAGTGATTTTATGTAATAATACATGAACGCTCATGTATTATTACATAAAATCTTCCAAGATTTAAATCTGTTCTAGATTAACACCCTGTGTTACTTAGCTAGATTGTTTACACTCCACTGTAACGTTACTATTTAGTTTTCTGATCTAAATTTCAAGACAGTTCTTATAGCTATGTTATGATTAATGCCTTTTCTGCTTGCACTATCAATTCATTACATCCTTTTTAATGTATAGCAAAACGCAGTGATTAGGTAACAGGAAGCACTTTAAAACTAAATCCTTCTTTTGCAATAATTTTTTTCCAAACTTAATCGAATGACAAAAAAATGAAAATTCTTACTCTTTGAACTCACCATGTATCATATGTGAAATATATTTTAAGTATCATCATTACTTAGAATTTATCTATGAAATTTCAGCGAAAAAAAAGGCTTGGTAAAATCTACCTTAGATATGGCACTTAAAAGAGCTATGCTTATACTAACTGAGGGGGCGGAAGAAATGGAAACTGTTATTGCGGTTGATGTCTTAAGACGAGCTGGTATCCAGGTACTGAAATGTAATTTTTGATTTAAGGAGCTTGATTCCTGCCTTAGTATTTTTTACTTTATGAGATATACAGATTCGAAATTTATCAGTTTTCAATAATGAATTTGAAACGGCTTCTAAGTCTTTTAAAATTTAAGCTTTCAATTTAGATTTTAAAGTAATGCCTTCACTACCTGAGATGTTTGTAATTTTGTTTTAAATTTGCTTCGTATTGTACTCCCCGATAACAACAAGAGTTATAAAATTTTAATGAAGAGAGTCCTGTCCTTTTTAAAATGTTTTATTGGAAGGTTGTTATTGCTGGTCTCTGGAATAATGATTCAGTAAAATGCTCGAGACAAGTCATCATTACGCCTGACACAGCACTAAGCGAATTGAGGGAAGAAAAATTTGATGTCATTATTCTACCTGGAGGTTTACATGGCGCCAATACTCTATCATCGGTAGCTTTCACACATTCAAGTTCTCCTCATTCGTTTCTACTATCAATAATTTTTTCATCCAAAAATTATATGAAATATAAAAATTGAATGTAATTTAGGGAAAGATTCGGTCCAATTAATTAAAGATAGAATGATCAATATCAGTCCTCATTATCTAAGGTATATCTCGTTATAGAAACATTGCGTCCCATATTAAGACTACATACATGTGAACGGAATTATCCCCATACTGATTCAGATTCTGATGTTATTAAATCTATTTAAAGTGAACTTACTTTAGTCACATGAAGTAGGTGATGTTCTTCGAGCTCAGATCAACAGCGGTCGTTTGATTGCTGCAATATGTGCTGCCCCTATCGCTCTAAAAAGTCATGGAATTGCTGTTGGAAGTTTGGTTACGTCTCATCCAAGTGTCAAACAAGCACTCATTGAAGGAGGTACTTTGCATAGTAACCGTATTGTTTTATATAATACATTTATATTTGGAAGCAGCAACTCTGTGCTCAAGAACATGCTATAATGATCTTGTTTTTAGTTGAGTAATGCACAAACCCGAAGTTGAGTAGATTTGTGCGTTAAGCAGAAACACCTTTTTATAATTGAAGGACGAGACAAATTTTCTTGTGTTTAATGTAGGTTACAAATATTCGGAAGATCGCGTAGTTGTGACTGATCGTATAATTACAAGTCGTGGTCCAGGAACTGCATTGGATTTTGCAATAAAATTGACTGAAATACTCGTTGGGAAGGAAAAAGTCAAGGAAATTGCTGCTTCAATGCTAGTGGACGATCATTTGGTGAAGTGAAAAAAAAGAGATCAGGAATATACTGTTATTTTCTTCCAGTTTAAGTAAGAATCAATCTTTGCACTGATCCTTGTTCTGGCTAGTTTAATATCCGCTGGTGACAAGTGAACTGAAAGAGTTGCAGCTAAATTAATTCGATTCATTGGTATGTATTACGAGCACTTGGTATATTTGTTTATCATTTTATTGTCATGTATAGGTTATGCAGATGTATAAAATAGCTTCTTGATTTGTTTCTAATCAGTTATCCGGTTGTATGGGTTTTTTTTATAATGATCTTTCATGTTATTGGGCTCTTCATTTATCGAAATATGTACTGATTAAAGATTATGAAAATAGGTTACATGTAGCTTCCTCACTGATTCTTTCCATTTTTTATCTCGAAATTCGTTTGCCGCACGCAAACCATAACTATGAAATACAGAATGAATGGAAATAAAAACTAGTAAGCCATTACAATCTCTAATTTTTCAAATACTGACTGAAGCGACTTGGTAAATTTGGCATTTTCGACTTTTTATTTGGATAAGAAATTTGACTCATTAAAGTTGCCTATCAGTTATACCATACATAGTAGCACTCAACCAGGATGCATTGCAAGAAGCCAGCAAATAATGATTTAAGGGGCAGGGTACAGCGCACGCCTACCCTCGAAATCTGTTTTTGCGTCATGATGACTAGCGATTTCTACCTGCCAGCAATAGTTCGTATATCAGTTCCTCCGAAAATGTTTCCAATAAGGCTTAAAAAATCTCCACCCTGCGGTACACTTATACCTGGTACTATCACTGAAAGTAAAGTTTAACAAGTATTAATATCTTCAAGGTTTTTCTTGCAAAGACAGACTGAAAATCTTGAGAAAAAAATGGTAGATCGTACTAGAAGGTTGCTGTGTTGTTGTTGTAGGTGGAGGTAGTGCTACACATCGCTGCCTTTCTCGTCTGAACCCGCATTTACATTGACATCGACCACTAAAAATAGAAACAACAGCCGCTGTATGAAGGAATCGAAGTTAACAGCATTTTAGCAACAGCCAGTCACTTACCGGTAACATCCAGAATTTGCTGGACATTGTCTCTGAATGAAGCAGTGAGCCTCTAGTGGTACCTCCTTAAGGCATGTAGTATCTCTTGAGAGTGTTTCGGATTCACAATCTCGTGTACACATTTGACTTGGATTACGCAATGGGTGCGTTACAGAATCCACCAGCGGATGGAAACCAGGCAAACATTCACATTGTCCCTTTAATACAAAACCAAAAATAAAACGAGTTGCATCTTTTTTCATTACCAAATTGTTCATTACACTGAGATAAACATCAGCAGAAGTTTCTTAGCTTTATAATCAAATTTCTTTTCCAATCCAAATAAACTGCACCAATTTACACATCATACTCTCTCCACCACCACATTGTTCATTTACACTGCACTGGGAATTCAATTGTCCTCGTGGCATACATGTACCATTAATGTACAATGCTTTTGGTGCCATTGCATTGCACGGCCGACGGCAACATAGTGATTGTGAGAATCCTCCATCTAAAGATAACAACTTTGTTATTACTCTGAGTCCTTTATTTGTGATTGAACAAAAGTAAATGCGTTTTTAATCTGAACAGTATTGTATAACTGATTTTCGCACTGAACTATAGTACAAGTCAAGCTTTTGTTAAACATAATTCGAATGAGTTATTGGAGAAAGTCAATAATGTATTATGATAGAATTTTTTGGAAAAGAGTAAAGGATTCTTGGACACAAACCCAATATGGAAAAGAATTTTTAGAATACCTGAAATACGATGACAGAAATGCGTATCTGGAGGACAACGTAAAGTTGCGTTTGGATCACAAGAATAATTAAATTCTGGGTGCGTCCCCAACGGGCAAACTTTTGGACAGCAGTGTCCAACTGGTGAATCCCCAATAGTTATGCATACCTATAAGAAAGAATATGAGGGCATGCAAGAGAGAGAAAGTAAGAGAAATATCGTGACGGTTAACTTTCTAAGTATTGTTATGAATTGTGACTAACTTTAGTAAAATTGGGCGCTAAAAAATGTCATAAAATGGCATAGCTTTGAAAAATTAAACTAATATTTTTACAAAATTTTGAGAGAAAAAGAAGTACAATAATGTATATATTTCTACCTGGCCAGAAGGACAGTTATCAGCATCATTTACGAAATTTTCCACTAAATGTTGGCTAGCTTTACGGATGCACGTGCTGCCTGGATTGCCTGAAAAGTAAGCATGCAGTTGTGTAAACCTTAATAGACTGGATCAAGTCTAATTCAGAACAGGAAGTCGATTTTAAAAAAATGGATGGTACGAGAAAATAGTTACCTACCTCCTAGCGGACACGCGGGTGCAACAACACAACGCGTTCCACGTTGTATGGTACCACTAATGCAAACGCATTGTGAATTCATGCAAGCAGAAAAGGGTGCGGAACAATCATAATGCCGCGTGCAACGATCACCAACTCGACTCACTGACATAATAGCAAATCAAATTTTGAGTATTTGCACATTTATTCAGTACTAGTATTTCTTAACTTGCTTATTTGGAAATTAAATAATGTCATTAATTTGGTATATATTAATGAAAACTCAGTTACAAATTAAATAAAGGTTGACATGTAGACTCTGAAGCTTCTACACATGCCTTGTCCGCTATCTTTATCCTTGCTTGCAGTTTCATATTAGAGCTTGATAGATTTCATATTCATGTATCTTTTAAAAGAATATTTATAAATCAATTTTGAGACACAAACTGTTACGCAATAAAGAAGCAGACGTACTTGACACACACTGACCATTGACTAATGTTGTGGTACCCCGCTGAACACACTGACATTGTCCACTTCGGCAAAATAGCGGTTCACGACATTTTGTGCTGCATGATTGACCAACCTTTGCCGGAACTGAACTAGTATATATACACTCAGGTGAATGGACTTGCAAATGAATGGTTAAGACGTGTGGTTAAGCTAATATTAATTTTACATAAAAAGTTTACAACTTAATCAGAATAGAAATCTTTAACTTAAATTAAAGGTTATTCGACAAAAATTTAGTACAAAAAGAGAAACCATGAACAATCGTATATATTATTTACGTCTTTTGCAGCGTGGATTATGTCCCTTCTCATCGACCACTTCAACATAATGTGGGTGACACCTACAACGTCCTCGTAAACATACCGACCCTTTATTCTCACAGTCAGTATTCAAATCACAACTGCCAGAAAGTAATGATTTACCTAAAAAAAAGTTTGTTGAGTGGAAACTTAATTGTAGAAGAAGAAGAGCAGGAAGTACTATGAAGCAAAAAATTAACTACTTGTCACTGGCAGCCAAACAACGTCAATTCCTTTCAACTTCAGTTTGAGAATAACCGCGGCAAAATTGATGAAACAAAAATATTTAGCAGGGAACATAACATAATTAATGCAATTACCGTTACATGGAGTAAATGCTGAATGAGTATTTCTTGAAAGCAGAAACAAAAAGAAGAACCAGTGCATGCTGTGTGGTTGATACGGGGTACGGGGGATGATTCCCCCCGTCCACCGGTTGTTTCGTCTTTCCCTCTCATTCTCTTCTTCCTCTTCTTCTCCTAGATATTTCTCTGCTACTGTGTAACCTACATTTTCCTTTGCCTTGCGCATATTGTATTTCACTCCCACGTTCACTTATACTGTCTCAGTATTATCAACCTTAGTTGCAGTGCTATTAAATCCATTCCCGCTGGAATCACTTCTCAATGTACTTCTTACTTATTTAGTGTTGGAAATTGATGGAAGTTTGTAGCCGTTTTAATTTCTTCTAAAAATTAATAATTTCTTCTAAAATTAGAGATTTTCAACTAATTTGTGATTATATAACATAGCTCTAGCTGCCTTCTAATAGATGAGTTCTCTATTATACAGTCATTATTTCAAAACTGCGGAAAGTGTATTTCAATGTGCTGTTACAGAAACTGTTCTATACCACTGCAAAAACTTGCATTCTCACATTTTTAGGTTGAGAATTTCAGAAATAAGATCTGGAATTCTCTTCTTTGCAACAAATGTCTGCCTCTCAATTTTTATGCTTTTTTCACCTTTATTTTCAAACTACCAATTTTTCATCTCTATTTAGATACAAATACGCAAATTCATAACAAAAAGGCTGACAGTTGTCACAAAAAGTTTTCAGACAGCTGTTGTAGAAACATTATCTTGCAGGTATTTATTTTTGCATTAATACAAATACATAGGCAGCTATAAATAATGCTTGTAGCATGATCGCCAACGACGTAGCTATTCCGAATGCACAATCGCTTTTATTTGTGAAACATCCACAAGTCTAAAAGTCCTCGAATAAATTGCTTGACTTAAAGATCATCGGTCTCATACCAAAGCAGAAATTCAGTTTTATACTTACAATCAAAAAAAACCCGGAAACATTTATTTAGAAAATGCATTATTCAGTAATGTTTTTCTCAGTTAATTCTATTTTTAAGCACTTGAAGTACTACGTATTACTGCAGCTTTTAATAAAATTGCAAACTTTATTGTTTTTTCGTTTCTTCGACTTTTTCCCGGTCTTCTTCGAATTCTTATTGCCCTATAAAAATTACTATTCTCTGATTTTCATAAAATTTTTAGTTTTATTCATTCAAAGTATGCCGTATGTATTTAGTTGTTTTCATTTATTTCAGAATTTTCCATTTTAATAGAATTAGTGAAATGATGTTACAAAGTACATTGTTTCATAAACTTTTAGATATACTTTTTTTAGTTTGTGAGACAGTAAAACTGCTGCATATTTTTTAAAGAATGTATAAGAAACTTTTCTTTATAAGTAAACATCAAAATTTCCACTTTTTAATTTACATGTCACTTATCAAACACAAAAAAAAACAGTTCTTGCGTTCTAGACGAAACCAACAATCCTTGATTAAGTAGAGTTTTTTATTGAATTCACAGTAAAATGTATTTAAGATAGAAATCAAAGAGACATAAAAAATTTTACCTTAACTTTATCATCCCAGTCAAATTTGGTATTATCGGTCATTCTGGTAGTTTATATGTGGCGAAATGCTTGAAACGTTGGACATTAAATGAAGCAAAATGGAAATAAGCTAGAGATGAGTTGAGATTACATAGTAAATCTACGTGACTTTGTACTTTCATTAGTAAACGTATTTCACTTTTATCTTAATTACTTGTTTGTATCTAAAAAAAGTTAAGTCTTATCGCAAGATGAATAAAGCACCTTTTACCCTTAGTAAATAACTTTAAAACGATAAGGTGATACGACTGCTTAGGTAGAACCAACTCTGCAAAATAAATCGTTGTCCTGCTGCTAGAATGTTTAAAAATTTTCTTGTTACAAATTTCTAAATGTCGTTGTCAAGTATTCAGCATTTAGTATTTTTTTGCCAGTTTAAGTATGCCTTACTTACACGTCTTCAAATTGCCAACAATGACAACTTTCATTAATTTGCATCTCGAATATTGATCTTTCTTAGTATTTCACTGATCAGTTATTATTTTAGTGTCAACTCATTCTGAATTATGCACAGAATCACAATAAATTTTTAAAGCTCTTCGAATGTTTTCTCACTAATTTAGAATCATCGCATTCTTACATTAGATCTTTGTATCACTTGTATGATAGATGAGTTCGACATACTGTGCTTATGTGATATGATTAACCGTAAAAATTCGCTTTCTGTTACCGTTCAAAATAGAGTTTCTTTTTCGTTATTTACTTTAAAACCTTGCAATTATCAAAAATAATAAAAGTGATATGAAAAAGTCCTAAAGCTCTGTGCTTGAAACAAATGAGGGATATTTTTGCTTTGTTTTCTTATTTCCGTAAAAAGTTTCATGGAGTTAATGTAATCAAAATAATTTATTTGTAATGAAAAAAAGTAATAGTGAAGAAAAATAATATCAAAGATCAGATTAGTTTTTGAATATAATTTGGCAACAATGCTACAAAACATGTCAAAAAAAGATGATAACAAAATAGTTGAAAACTACATTTTTGTTGAAATTGCAAATCATTTTCATGTCTCAATTTTTCAAAATTGCAAATTTAACAGTATTGTGCATAATAACTGATTTTCTTTTTTATAGAAAACATTTAACTAAAAATAATTTATCAAGAGCGGTTGCTAGTAAAGAATATTTCAAGCAAACGTGAAAATTAATCTAAATCATTCATGGAACCTGAAGAACCTGAAGAAGAACTGAGAGGCAGAATGTTGGATATAACTGTTCTTTTTTCTCATGCATATACAAATCTTCGAGATTACCATTTGTGATTTTTCAAATGTGAAGAAAAAAACGTTATCAAATTACAGTCTGCAATCGTAGTTCTTTTTTTTTTCAGAAGAGTAACACCGTCATATTTCAAGAAATTGGGTGAAAAATTAAGAAATCACCAAAAATATGAGCAAGAAGATGAGCTATCTATTCAAATTGCGACACGTACTCAGTCTTATCCACTCGATTTAGTAAATGTTTAAAAAATTCTTTAAAATTTCACTACATGGGATAAAAATTGATCAATTATACATGAAAATACGAATTATCAGTATTTGCTATGAAATTTAATTTATTAAAATTTGTAAACCAGTTTACTTCTAGAAAATTTTCAAACATTAATATCAATTTATACATATTAAGAACATTTTCAAACTGACTGCTAAACATTTGTATATTCAGAACAGCGGTATTCGTTTTTCTACCGAAGCAACGGTATTACAAGCTTCCGAACAACAAGAGCAACAGGAACAGGATGAGCAGAAAGGGCAACAGCAAGAAGAACAAGAAGAGCAACAAAAGCTACAAGAACAACAACAACAACAAGGACGGCATCAAGGACAACAGCAACAAGAACAAAGGCAACAAAAGCAACAACAACAAGAATGTATAAAAGAAGATTCAAGAAAAAAATCAAAGCAAAAAAAAAAAGTAAATATCCAAGACAACAAACAAATAACGAATGAACAGTAATAAAAGGAAATAATAATGTCTTAATATTTTTTTGAACATTTCATTCAACTCAGACATTTGAGAGTTAATTGTAGAGACACGGGCGGAAAAAGTCAAAGCGCAGAAAATCAGGAAAGCATAAATTATATAGGTATGCTACAAACCCTATATTCGATCATTTGCTGTGTGTAGGGAATTTCCAGCATAACTACACCACAATTATAAGCTGTAATAAACTATTCAGTCACTCACTGAAAGCATCTAATTCCTGGTACAGCCACGACAAAGTGGAATCTAGTACGAAGTTCATGTTGTGTTGTTCTGCTTACGACTGAAATGTTTTTACCACTCATCTGCGACAAAAAAAATAACTCTTCAGCTGACACTACTGGTGAAAGTATCAGTCTTGGGTGCATTAGTTTTATGTCCAAACAAAAAATAAAGCTGAGGTGTCATACTCGGTTTGTTTTAAAGTTAGACAAAAAATTATTGAAATTGAGAAAAGAAAAATTTGTACTTCCAGTAAATGAATTAATTGTTCGATTTTATGCATAACACTTACTCTTCGTAAAACGTAAAATTGTATGTGTTGATGTGAAAAAATCTAGTAAGTTTGAGAAGTTAGTTCTAAGCAATCATATATTTTCATAAAAACATCTGTACGCATAATTTCAGCGACTCAATGAGTTTTGAACACCTTTCCTTTGAACAAAACTACAATCCCGATTCACTGGTATGAATGATATTAGCTAACAGTATTGACAAACTTTAAGAATGGCTATTCAGTGAAGAGATGTAATATGCTCAAGCGCAGTTCAAAATTATATCCTTTTTTGAAATTTAAAAGTCAATAGAGAGTAAATGAAAAGCAATAACAAGTTTGATTATGACTTCTCAAAAAATTGCCAAATAAAAAAGTAAAAATGTGAATATTTCATTATTCACTGCTAATGAACCAATAATTACTATGAAGCAGTAATACAATGTACAAGCAGAAGAAAGATATGAAAGTTGTACCGTAAATGCATTTTCAGAATGAAGGCTGTCGACCAGTGCAGTGAGTTTTATTTTTCTATTAACCAGAAAAAATTGTACTTCCAAAAGATTTATCCTGTTTTTATTTTGCTTTATTCATTTTCGTACTTGTCTAGATTGATTCATATTACTTACGTAACCTAATGTTTCAGTTCTCCATCAGAAACTAAACACATAACAGTACCACAGGATGAGAGTATTGCATATGCACTTTCTACAACCACTTTTACTGATAGTACCACAAGTGAAATATTAGCAACACGCGTGAAATCAATTAGTGAATTCCAAGATGGAATAGAAACGGATTTCCTACTGGACGAGGATAATATCTTGTCGATTCTTAATTTTAAAAATAACCCGGTCAATTCTAGTTACCAAAAGATAAGATTCTGGACAGCCCCATTTTCTATGTAATTTAGAGAACGTGGACAGTTTTTCAGAACTGCGCCGTTTATGAATTGCAAAATTCAAGTGGATGTAAAATATATGTGGAAAGAGCCGAAAGCCAAGCGTTAATAATGTCTTTAGACGTCGAGGGGAGACTGCTCTATATCAGTAGCAACTTTTGAAAATAATCCCATCGGTCCACTAAAATCAGTAAACTTCCATGTCTTCCATTCAATGGATCTTTGTTTTACGTTCTGTTTTGTAATTAATGAATAATTGTTGGTTCCGACGAACTGTCACTGTCCGTAACACTGCAAAACGTTATCCACACATTTGATTTACTGCTTATTTCAATGGATTTGCAATGATCAAATCCATACTGCTATTACTGCCTCACTGATACTACCAACGTTCACAACTTCCCAACCAGTCAAGACCTCACTTCAGAAAACTTTTAAAGATCAATTCTCCAAACATATTGCGAAATAATATCTACCCACTACCTACCTTTAATTAATTCTATGAAAATTGACGAAATGTTCTTTAGAGTAAATTGAGTGCTGCAACAAAAACTTTTCAGTTATTGCTTAAAAAAACAAAATGCCTTAAATCAAAGCTGCTGCTATTATCGTAATAATCTGAAGTTATCATTACGCCTCTTCTAGTCATGAGCTGATAAAAAAGAAATTGCTTTTGATGCACTCCGAGATTTAGTCTTGCATATTTAACTGAACACATTCTTCAGCCGTAAAGGACGGTAACCACTGGTTGACAAGTTGTCTTTAAACATATGATAGACAAGAAACTATTTGCATAAAAATAAATAGAAAATTTTTGTTCAAGAATACAGCAAAAGCTACATAACCACCCTTGCAATTTATTGATTTCTTTCAGTTACATCAATTAAACTAGATGATTTATATTCTAACCAATAAATATCTATCACATACTTCTTTACCAACAAAATCAAGCAGTACATTATTTGCGACGGAATTTTCGAGCACAACGTTAAGAGTCGAGAAATGAAATATACTCACTCACAAATGAACAAGACATTTAATCCACAATTTTATTTTCTGTGGATCCACTCCCATTTCAAACAGTAACTTATCACATTTTATGAGCAATTAGGTTCTAAATTTTGCTGAAATGTGCGTTGTCATAAGTTACTTTCGTTAAAAAAATAAACTGTAGTTCACAATAAAGCAGGCAACCAAAACGACTTGAAAATGATTTAACGATGTTTTGAAATATTAGCGATGACTAATTCCCCAGAAAGAGATGCCTCTCTTGAAGCTTTGTTCATGCGATCGTTGATCTTGATATTTGTATCGTCTTTTGGCTTGTCATTCTTTACCTGAGCTGTTTTGTCTCCAGAGAACTGCATCCTACTGTTTTCCACGGTCCTTATTTCTAACTGATCACGCATATGCTCAACATTTCGAACTTGTTGATGTAACCGATGGAATTCATCAATTTCTAGCTGGCTTGATAAAGATGCATCAAAATAATACTCTTTGAAGCCAACAGCAAGTAATGAATGCAACACAATGATACTGATTATCGTCCCAAAAGAAATCTGAAATTGATAATTTTCCCCGTTTACGAAGAAATCTAAATCGTTAAGTTTAGAATAACAGAATGCTTATGCATATTTCCGCAAATTCAACTTTTTTCAATTATGTGAGAAATGGTACTCAAAATGATGAAAGTCTGTAACGACAGATAGTTTAGAACTTAGTAATTACTAAAATAAGCACAAATAAAATATAATAAAATGACCATGGTATTGCAAGTGTTTACTTCTGAGTACTGTTTTGGAGTAGAATGGAATTTAAATGAGAATACACGACGAAAAATAACATCAACCACGTAGTTATATTAAATCTTCTTCAAAAGATCTCAACTACATGGACTCAGAATGTTTCGAGGTCTTAACGTGACCAGAAATAAAATTATCTTAAAATAAAAATATCTCTTACTATTTTATTGTGATCATTTTTAACGGCAGGCCATATACTGCTTACAATAACGCATACACTTGGTATAACTGAAAGAAATATAAGAATCCACCGAAACCACTGTGCTTGGAAAACCCACAAAATCTAAAGGAAACATAACTCTTAAAAGTGTTATAGACATAAAATGATAAAGAATAGATGCGGTAATAAACCGATTACCAATAAAAAACACATTAAGTCGAGAAATAGAAACCAGCACATATCTGAATAAAAACGTAAATGCTCACTCAAAATATTGAAAAAATTTTCTTAACTGATGACATAACTAACAAACACAATAACCAATTAAAAAACTGAAGTATGGGTGTACAATATCACACGAGACTTTATCGATGATTTTTTTTCCAGATTCAGAAAACTGAATACAAAATTTCTTTGATAAATTAAAAGAAACAAGAGTAAGACAAAGTGTGACAACACTACTTACTGATGTAGGAATGAAAACTGATAGACTATATCCATACAAGCACAAAATATCCAAATATGAATACTGCAAATTCGATTTCCGATACCATAATAAAGTATAGAGAAAAAAAGGCACCAACACAATGTAACAAAAAATTGCTGCCGAAGCACCAGTGACTGCAAGTTGGGAATAGTCGATAAGATTCTACACTATGAGAAAATTAGATTTAATTTTTGAAAACGGGGAAATAAACTCTAACCTAATCTGAAATCACTCCCATATTGATGATTTGTAACATCTCCAGATGCTTCAATATACTTTGCAAGATTGCCACAAATGGCTGTGGAAAACACTAATGTAATAGCTATCCAAAAAGGTCCTAAAAATAGCCAATGAAAATAAAAAAGAGTACAAAGACTTGTGGAAGCTACAAACTTTTCGATTTTTATTTAAAAATACCCCATAAATCTGGAAATGGCTGAATGTACATCGATATGAAATTAGATCGAAACTTTGGTACCATGCTGTTTAACATTCTTGACAGTACCTGGAAAATTATCTCAAATAAAAAATTCTGCTGCATCATTTCCCGCCTACTACAAGTTGAAATGCATGATTCAAAAACGAGAAAATAGCCATTCAAGATACTAACCTGATCAGTGTCAATATCAAAATACTGCTGATAAAATTCGAATGAAAATATATTTCTCTTCTCCGTTGTATGATCACGTTTTTTTTCATTCACTGTAAACAGCTGAAAAATTGTTTAAGTCAAGTCTAATAAAAATATTTCTATTTTCTTCATTTTAATGACAGACGTGCCAAGTACAAAAAATAACCGTAAAGTTCTTTGGAAAGTCCATAAAACATATTTGCCGTTGCAAAAAGGAAAACCACACTTGTTTACTCCGTATGAAAAACCGAATTTTTACATACTTTTACGATAAATTTCATCAAAATGGGAATATACGGTGCTTAGCAACCATTAAAACGAGCTTCAATGCATAGCAAATGATTCAAATGAAGCGTGTCATACTTGAAACAGAAAAGGGTGTTCAATAAATATGCATTTTCGACAAGTATTTGAATTACGGACACATATTTGCAAGTCACGAGTTAGTAACTTACGTAAGATCCAGCTCCAAGTTGACCCAGGTCTCGAGAATCAGTATTTGGATTCACACTACCCAATCCAAAATCTACAATGGCCATATCACCTAGGAAGATGTACAAAAGAAATTCGCAACTCACACACTTTGGATCTAAAAAAGTAAAACGTACCGTGGAACTGCAAATCAGCCATGGGATTACCTGGAATTCAAATAAACATGACTAAATTCGTCTCGACAGAATAATTTAAATGACGTAGAGAGAGAGAGATCAATTGAAATGGTGAATACTACATGCACTTAATAAACTTTCAACTCCGAGACTTTGAAAAATTTACGCTCACTGAGAATCAAAATGAAAGGTACTTCAAAATCATCTTTTCCAATATCTGAACAATTACATCTCATATTACCCAATATTTAGCAAATGCCAAATATTTTAAACTGATAGATGCGGATCAAGTAAATTGGATAGATTCGTACCAAGTAAATTGAAGCAAAGTCGTTTACTTCTAAATCACTCATATCATAAACAGCAAAAGCAATAACAGGATTTCACAGAAACATCTGACCACACTCAACGCAAGTGAAGCACTTCTTAAGTAAACAATGCAAAATAATTTTCTCGAAAGCATTCAATGGTTTCCTATTATCGGAAGAAGATTAGCAGAAGTGAATAGCATTCTGCCACCATTCAGGTGAGTCCAACATTAAGCATAAGTCATAAATATCAAAAATTTCACAAAATATTTCGAAAGAATTTCTATAGATAATAACATGTAAGCACTGCTAAGACATAAATTGAAAAAAAAATACAAAATAAAATTTTTCAAAATATTCAAAGAGAGACAAGTGTTCTAAATCAAAACAAATAACAATATTCTTGCTGCAAGAAATATACATAACTTTAAAATTAATTAACTCCTAAAATTAATAATGCCCTGCAGCACTGTACACCGACCATTTCTGAACCACAATTGATTAAATTCTAATTCAATAACATTAAACAGCCTGAAACTTCTGTTCTGATTAATAGTATATTGTGTATGCTAAAAAAATATTTGGCATTTGATAGTAAACTGATGAAACTACTTTAATATCTGCGTATTAATAATAATATTTTTTTTTTAATGGGTCGTTATGAACAATAAAATTTGAAACATCTAAAAAAGAACATTACAAATCCGTAACCTAGGCGCAAAAAGTTTAGTGTTTAGAACCCATCTGTGAATGATGCTAAGTGGTAGGTACTCTTAAATTTACTACTTAGTGAGCTGCTTCTACAACTGAAGGAACTGCAAATTATGCAATGAAAAAGTGTAAAACAAGATTACATAATCATGAGACTCTCTACACAACAAAAATTATTGATCTATTTTTCATGATTTTTAAAACTACAAAACTCTTCAAGCACTCAAGTTTGCAAAACTATTACAATCCTATTATATAATCTTCACAATATAAATAGCTGATGACTGAAAATAATTTTTAATCAATTACATGCTAATCCAAAACTGAGTACTTGAAACATACAATCTAAAACCAATATAAGATAATAAAAACTAATTAAAACAATAACTTTATAAAGTATAACACATGACCTACACTAGATTCTAAAAACTTTTTGATTTTCCACTTCTGTCTTCATGAAATTGAGAATTCCATATTATCAACAAAAAATTTATATTGCGAGCCTAAAAGTATTTTAATAATTTCCTTTCCAGACTTATCGATGCAATGAGGAAGTGTCATGCCGACGTGGCGAATTTTTCCTGCAAGAACTATTTTTAGAATTAATAAGTATCCTGAAACTGAATATTTTCTGACATTCTAATTTCACTTGAACAACTTTCATGACCTTTCACTTTTGCATTATTCTTATTTACTGCTAATAAGTGAATAAAAATAAATAAATATACAAACTACAGCAATTCCATAAATGAACTAACTTGCGTTGTCCATACCGACTTCGCTCTTTTTCATCCTTGTTACGCTCCCGATCTCGTTCTTTTCTTTCTCTTTCGCGAGCCGAATCCCGATCTTTTCCTCTAATGTCACCCCTTTCTTTATCACGCTCAAGATCTTTACTGGGACGCTTTCGTTCTATCTCTGTTTCACTTTCTTCACAAGAACATTCTCCACCACTACAAGAGCATGAGCAACTGAAATAAGATTGGTTTACACAAGACCGAAAAACCAATTTTACAATTAGAAATAAATATTTAGCAATTACATATAAACTACCTCATAACAGATAGACTAAACTTCGTGACAGTTATAGTTTAAAGTCAAACAAGACAACAAAGTACATCTTGCTATTTTGGACAACGAAAACAATGACTGAATATTTTAAACTATACTTTGAAGAGCACCGTGACTGACTGTCTGTCCCAGCCTTTACGGTGGACGATGACAGAGCCGCTTTACGAGCCGCTATTTTAGCTTTCAAAGCCTCAACTTCAAATTCGTCAGCACTCAAGTCGTATTTATCCAAATCAGCATCATTTCCTTCTTCCTCATCATCTTCTTCCTTTAAAACGAAATCCAAATCATTAGTGAGACTTAATGAGCGACAATTTGTATTACTTTATCCATGATTAACAAAAATTACTATTAAAGAATCATATGAGATGGGGAAATTTTCAATAAAAGTGTTAAACTGTTCAGATTAGTTAACTGTCTAGTATCAAATCTAAATTTTTTTAAATACATTGAAAAGCGAGGAAATGACTACCTTATAAACAATTCTTTAAAAAGGCATATTTAATAATAAAACATAAAAGCAAACCTCGATGTGTTGCATACCTCTTCATCGTTTTTACCAGATTTAGTCTCAACAAAAACGTTTCCCATTTCCTCCAATCCCACTTTGGCATCATCAACTTCGACTTCCACCTTTTCTCTTGTTTCATCGATTTTTTTCAGTTCCTGAATCCCTTTGTTAAGCAAAAGATTGTAATGAGAACAGTTAGAAATTCACTCTCACAGTAAAAAATAAATTCGATTCAGCTCACGACTCCTGTCACTACTAACACAATGCCACTTCATTTTTAATGTGAAAAAAATAGCGATATGTTTCAATACTTAATAAATTTATATACGCTAATAGCTGAGAAATGAAAATTGCATCAATTACATAAAAATCAAAACCATCAATCACGCAGAACTCGAAATTTAAGCATCCTGCATTACTCAAAAATTCACATAAAAGCATGAAAAAAATATAAAATTATTTTTTAGAATATCTATGTACCGATATCATTAATAAATAAACAACAACTTCATCATTTTTTTCCACTCTTCTACGCTTCTTTTTGCGACCAAATTCATCAAACTCTTCATTATCTTCCCTCTCGATATATTCAACATTCTGCCGATCCATATATCCACCGCCATAACCTGGAAGCTTATCTTTAAGAAATGAAAATTACAACAGTGACATGAAATTCGTAAGCACCTTCAACTTGTTACAAAGCACAGCATTACTTATATCCATATTTAAGAGCAAAAAGAGACAATTCCGTAATAAAAACATGAAAATTATGATTTTTCACTGTTCTATGTCCTCGAAGTTTCTGAAAGTTAAAACGAAACTTCTGACATATATTAGTGCAACGTACCAGTCCGTACTTCCAAGTCCCCTAATTTTGGAGCATTACATATATTACAAGCTGTTCTTCGAGCCCAATTGACGTTCCCACACCTGGAAGTTCGCTTTATATTAAAAAAACATGAATAGTGAAAACCTAAACAAAGAACATTTTTTGAGATGGTACACGCTAGCAATTTCATTTATTAAATTTTATCACAAGCCCAACATGTACAAATTATAAATACAAATAATTTATCAAAATCTTTGACAATGATAAATTTAATTTGTGCTCACAACTGTATGGTGATAATAATCAATAAATGCTGCATGCTTTATTCCATATGAGTACCAAATAGTAGCGAAAAGAATGAAAAAATATTATGAGCTAACTTAGTGCATGCCCAATCTTCAGCGGCAAACAATCCTTTAGACTTTTCTGCTGCATCTTTGCCAATTTCACGTCCTACTCGATTTTTGGAACGCGGTTTACTCTTGCCACAACGTTCACATATACTAACGCGATCAGCGTTTATATATGCACATTTGGCATCAACACATGCCCACTCACCTTCACGTAATGCACGTCGATGGGTGCCTGATGCAGTCACAACATTCGATGCCGTTTGACGCTGTCTCTCTAGGTAACGAGAGGCATCATCTAAGCTCATTTCCTGACTTGATCCTAAACTGCTACATAATTTAACTAAAAGTGTAGTCAAACTAGCAGAAAGTTCGATCATTGAAGTAAATAGTCACATAATTTCATAACTACTGACGAGATAGTTACGGAATCATGTGACTATTTACTTCGATGACCGTTTCTTTCTACAATCACAGTTAAATATTTAAGTGAAAGACATAAACATGCAGTAAATAATTATTCGAAAGATATTTTTTTAAAAAGAACAAGCAAAATACCAGAGACACAAAAGCATAAACTTTCATTTCAACATTCGAATTCTAAAACGCAGAGCAAAAAGGCTAATTTCATACTTAATGTATCATCGTAGCTAAAATTTAATGAAAATCTATCACTTTGTGAATTACGTACACTCACGCCACTAAGAAAACCTTAAAAAACTGACCCGCAGACATAATGAAAACTGCAGATCTCAGTGATACGTATCAACTGATAAACACACACAAATCTAACGAAAGGACTATCCGCGTTGCCGTATAGCAAGTTTTCGTTTCAAGACATTAAACTAAAATTAAGGAATTTTGTAGCAAAGCTATTTCAAATTTCAACATTTATGACGCGCAAACTCTTTTCACATGTGTTTGTTTATTCGTGCATATGTTAATCAAGTGGCTCTTCTCCGATAGCAACAAACAGTTTTTAAGCGATAGGTATTACTTTTCATATCAAATGTAAATGCCTTCACTATTCATATTTGGTTGCAGTTACTTACAATTATATTCATGAAAAAGCTAAGAATTTTGCTTCTTAAATTAATTGAGCTATTTTGTATGCTCGCATTATTTTCAAAAGTTATTCATAATATCTAATTGAACTGTTATATAAAAGGCACAGTTTCATACAGTTATTTGTGATGTTCAGATTCATCAATCATATATACGTAAGCAACTATAATTCTTGATAATACTATTCTTTACCAGTTTGCATCGTTTGTTTGTTTATTACCTTAGGTCTACTCTATTTCTAATATTTTATGTGTGTAATATGAAAGTAAGCTTTTGATGACTAATTTGAAGTTGTATTCATTGTGTTTTAGTCATTCCAATAACATAGTATTTTTAAAAATTTCACTTGTATTGTGCAATAAAGCTTTTGTATTACTCATAAAAAGTGTTTAAAATGAAGTAGGAAAACTGTGAAAACTAGGAATGTGATCACATCTGTGAATAGTTCCTGCAGTATATTTCAAAGCTACTGCAGTTTAATGATTTTATTCATATTTCATTCCCTGGCTGCAATTTTCGTTGCCATATATCAGAGTATGATAAGACAAGGTGTTATTGATAGTACAGTTGGCATCAATTGCAATGCATATTATTCATATAAAATGGCTGGAAAAATCACTAGCAATATTTTTAATGCAGGCAATATCGATGAATAGTAGTAATATTAAATTATTGCCAGTGAGATGAGTACTGCTGATAACATTACTCACTCAAAGTATGAATGAAAGCAATACTCATAATCAGTTGTCTTAAGTGCCGGTTTATTACTCATAGTCACCATGTAACGAGCTTGGCTCATTACATACTCCAACATTTCAATAATAATGCTAATGCCATGATAATATGCAGTGTTATTTATATGATGCATACTTCTACTTCAGTAAAATATTCCTGCAATTTAAAGTACTGACAATATATATTCTCGACAAAATTAACAGTGCTGTATTGCTTCTATAATGGGATCAGTTCCGATCCATAGCAGAAAAATATGCAACAACTTAGATTTAACTGAACGCCTTCGTATCGAACGCGTTTTATTGTACATAGTGAATAGCAACTGACATCTGGATGCAAAAAGCGATGTTTCACTTCTGCTTGTGATAACATACAGACTGACCTACAAGAAATAGTATCATCAGATTCCTGAAATTCAGAAACCACAATTATTTACGACTCCTAGTTAGCAAAATTTGCATTCTTACTTGTAACACTGAAAACAGTCCTAAATATTCGTAATCACTGCGGAAGAAACTACCACAATACACACATTGTGATTAGTGTTCCGAACTTTTCTTTATACTGAAAATATTGGCAGCACTTTGATAGTTATTTACAATCTAGACTCATGTAGTCATTAGCACTGCCAACTAGCAAGGAAAAAATATACCATCTATCATAAAAATTATAATTCATTGTGTATAATGATTAAATTATTTTTCCAAGTATAGAAATCAGACTGCAAACAGCTATGGTATTCATTCAATAAGTTTTACTCAGTGTGAGTACCGACGTGTGTGGTTGAGAGTTCACGCTCGATAAGTTAGGCTTAAAATGAGAAGAGCACTGTATGTATGTATGTATGTATGTATGTATGTATGCATGTATGTATGCATGCACGCATATTACTCTAACTTCTTTGGACACTCGCCAGA